TGTTAAAGCCTTGGTGCAACATTACCACAAGGCAGAATGCCCTTACCCAGCGATGGGAAGCTTTACCCATCGATGGGAACCCAGCGATGGGAAGGCTTAACCATCGATGGTTAGGCATGACCGTTGCGAGTCATTTAAGGCTGATTCTTTCCTTATTTGAAAGTCAACCTCCCACCCAGCGATGGGAAGCATCTACCCATCGATGGGTAGGTAACCGTTGGCTTCAAAACTGAAGGAAAATTGGCTTACCAGCGATGGGTAAGTTCCAAACATCGATGGGAAGCCAATATCCTGCAGATCCCAAATTTATTCAATCCCATAAATCAAGCCAATCACCCCTTTAATGTATTGGTCCGTTGGAGCCTATTTTGGCACTATAAAAAGGGGTGTTTGGGTCTGCTTTTCTCATCAATTCACTTCACTTTATTCATATTATCATTGCATCCAAACAACATTATTTTCCATAGCTTTCTAGAGCCAATTTGTGAAGTTTGAGTTGTTCTTGAGTGTATATAGTTTACTCAACATATACTTTTAAAGAGAGTCTTGTTCTTGAGTGTTCTTAGTGTTGTAAACACGTTTAGGGAAGCTTGTTTCCCTTGGTTGTATGAAGGAAAGGTATTTTCGTTCGGGTTGAAGTCTTGGAGTGCGGCATCTCCGAGCAAGTGTATTGAGGCTCGTGGGACTCGAGTTCTCAGGTTGTAACGGTTTGTTAAGCACCCGTAAGCTTAACAGAAGTAGTGTAGCTCGAGAGAGTCTCTCGGGAGGCTGGATTAGCCACAAGTTGTGGTGAACCAGGGTAAATCTTGGTGTGCTCCCTTTACTCCTTTTTATTCCGCTCTTTACTTTATCCCTGCGATTTTTATTCCGCGAAAATTTATAAACATTCTCGTGCCTCACTATTCACCCCCGCTCTAGTGAAGGGCACTTATTCTAACAATTGGTTTAAACCAAAATCGTGTTCTCGGGCGAGGAGGACAGGGAATTGTTTACAAAGGAATGTTGGAAGACGGAATGATCGTGGCCATAAAGAAGTCGATAGAAATGGACTCGGTGCAAGTGGAGAGTTTCATCAACGAGGTCTTAATTCTTTCACAGATAAATCACTAGAATGTGGTGAAACTACTCGGATGTTTCTTGGAGACCCAAGTGCCTCTCTTAGTGTACGAGTTTATCCCAAAGGCAACTCTCCATTACTATATCCATAACCCGATCGACGATGAATTTTCGTTAACTTGGGATATGAGGTTGAGGATTGCCTCGGAGATTGCGGGAGTCTTATATTATCTCCACTCCGCTGCTTCGATGCCCGTATATCATCGGGACATCAAGTCGACGAATATAATGCTTGACGAAAAGTACCAAGCCAAGGTAGCCGACTTTGGGACGTCAAAGTCGGTTTCCATTGATCGAACCCATGTCACCACTAAAGTCCAAGGGACGTTCGGATACCTCGACCCGGAGTACTTCCAATCTAGCCAGTTCACAGATAAGAGCGATGTGTATAGCTTCGGGGTGGTCTTAGCCGAGCTTTTGACGGGAAAGAGGCGAATCACGATGTTGGAATGCGAAGAGCACCGAAGTCTCGCAACATACTTTGTACTAGCAATGGAGAGGGGTCAATTGTTCGAGATTCTTGATCGACAGGTTAGGGATCAAGGCTCGGAGGAACAGATAGCCGGTCTTGCTGAGCTCACACGGAGGTGCCTCAGTTTAAGTGGTAGAAGCAGACCGACAATGAGAGAAGCCGTGTCGGCATTAGAGAACATACTCACAATGGTGTCGGGTTGTGATCGACCGAATCGGGAAGATTTGTTAGGTGTTGTTGAGAATGAGAGAACCAAATCATTGGTGTAGTCTTGGGATGAGTATTCGACGGAATTGTTTGCTTCGATTGAGGAAGACAACATATCATCTTCAGACATCCCTTTGACTACTAGGAGTCAGAACTAAGCGTGTCATCAATTATAATGTTACTGTAGTTGAGAGGATAACTTGCTAGAAGTTCTCTATTTGTTATGAAGGTTTGCACAATGTATTGTGTACGATACCTTACACCACACATCCCAGTTTTTGAATTGTATTGAAAAATTTACTTGCACTACGTTCCAGTTTTTGAATTATATAGATAAATTTTGTCTGTTTAAGGATATTATGTTGAACAAATAAGATTTGTTTGTATGATTCATGTTAGCAATGAGTGGTTTAAAGACGTAGTAACATTTTTCATAAAAAACAATGAATTCCAATAACTATTTTGGTACAGACTATGTTCTTTTGATGTTAGTGTCATAATACCAAATTGAGTTATTTGAGGCTCTCTTGTTGCGTTGAAGAATAAAATATATCTTGGACCTAAAACTAAAAATTTGAATTTTTGGTTGAATTAGTCCTTTGATATTGTTTTGAAACCTTGTTGACCAAGAGATCATGAATTCCACCTAGTTTAAAAACGATATTGTCCATGTGAAAAGGTTGTAGCAAAAAAATGGACTTTCATTGCACGTCAAGGAGCATGTTGAAGTGTAAAATATATCTTGAACCTACAACTACAAACTTAAGTATTGGGTTAAGGGTCCGTTCCGTAGGACTTATTTTTTCTACTTATTACTTATTTTTATTAAAATCAGATCAGATCATATCAGACCAGACCTAATCAGATCAGATCCAATCAGATCAGATTCAATCAGATCCAATCAGATCAGACCAGTTTTTAATTTATAAGTCAGCTGAGGACATGTTTTGTGTGTGAGAGTGTGTGTGTGTATATATACATACATGCATATATATATATATATATATATATATATATATATATATATATATATATATATATATATATATATATATATATATATATATATATATA